ATTTAAGAACCCAGGACTAACTAATAGTCTGAACAACGCCGATGTGAGTGTAAAATAGATAAATAAATTGTACGTTATCGTTCTTAAAACTATACTTAAGAATACGTGAAGTGCACTTTAACCTCCTTAATACATAATTAATAATACGTGAAGTTATGCATAAATCCATAAATCAAAAATTTTACAAACTGTCGTGAATAAATAGAATTGCCTCAGCACGCACATTCCTGTCTACCTATTATGCACAAAGTACTAATCGACTATTTTTCACTATTGAACTATCCACTGTCTAGAAAATGGTGTCAGCTTTCGTAAGAAGCTTTGCAGACGATAAACTTCTTAAAAATCAAGTTCCCAATCATAGCCAACAGAATATCACATTCACAACCATGTTTTTCTATTTTCTTGTAGTAGTAATAAAAAAAAGTTGAACCAATACACATAGTCGAGAATGCATGTATCGGGAATGTATTTAATTGAGTTTGTCTATGTACGAATAGACTCTTAAATCACAAAAACGAACGATCTCTAAATTAACGTTGCACTCAAGCCATTAATTATACGACATCGTAAATAACAATAAGCTAATCTGTTCCATTTGATTCCACTAATTTATTAGCAATATATACTTTTTACGATCACCGATTGTACATTTTCAAACCACGATATGTCAGATTAACATGTTAAGATTAGCTGTATACTTCAAATTCATATGTATACGCTTGTAACCTGTCAATTTTTTTTCTGCCATCCCATCTTGATACAAGAAAAATCTTGAAAACTTTCAATTGGAACTAATGTTACTTTAATAACTCGTAGAATGTCACCAAGAAAATAAAAATACACCAAAACTCAAAATCCTGAGCCTATATGACAAAAATATAAATGCACACTAAAAATAAAATATTGATATTAAAACTATAGCCCATCAAGTCTTAATGCATTAAAATATAAATTATTCTGATTTCACTTAGTTATCGTATCTTGTTAATTTAAATAATCATTACCTGATCAAAGGCCCTTCGTCCTCCCGAAGATAAGAATTCCTCAGCCCCTCGAACCCGAATGATTCTGGAATATTTGTCTCCTTAACGCTATATAATTACCCTAACCGGCTACGGACTCTTAGTTCACATAAAAACGAGTTTTTTAGCGAGCAGACATTAACAGCACACTGAAAGACCGCCACCAATTAATTTAAATATCAAAGGCTTTTTGAACAGTTATTTATATAGGGAGATATCTTGTAGGTAGTCAAACCAGTTTCTGAATTACTACGAGAAAATCCAGACCATGAATTATAATTAACAATTACTGGCTTATTATCAGCGTATTTTAATACTTTTCAGTCAGAAAAGATTCATTCTCTCTATTCTTCCAATCAGAGGCCAGAATGAAGAATATATCTATTAAGTAGAAGTGGTAACTATAAGCACATTAAATTAAAGATACATAATCATAACATATACAGCCTGCATGCTGCATGTGGAAAGGTGCAGATGGGTTCGTGAACTATCTAGTTATTCTGTGAAAGAATCAGTGAAAGATGACCGATGAATACAGCCCTCCATACAGTGGAGTTTGCCATATTTAAGTTTTATTATTGGCCATCATGAGTACTTCGGGTCATTTTAAATGCACTCATAAAACAACAGGCGTTCTCCTCTAAAAAGTTACAATCGGTTAAAGATCCTATGGTTAGGTTACTAGATTTCTTCACAGTTTTTATGTCAAGCAGTAACGCCGTGATGCCATGCGAGGGTTTATTGTAAAAAATAAGAATTTTAAAGACTTTCTGAATATAACAACTTATATATAAATAAAATAATAACACAAGAGAATTCCTCCTCACATTTAGTTTGTCGTCTTCTTATTGAAATCATATTCACCTTGCCGTCCCCAAATCTTATTTTTCATGAATACAGACAAAGTTTACTTTTTAGATAGTTCATCGTGTGAAATTCGTCACTCCTTATCCAGAATTAATTGAACGAAGAATATATTGAGAATAAGATTATGAAATAAATATATCAGATCTTGATTACAAAGAGTAACACAACACTGTAAGTCAAAGAGTTTTATTTCATGGGACCTTTAAATATGTCTGAATATGAAATAACTCTCTATGTAAGATAAAGCATGTAACTATATTTAATGGGTACATGCAGGTACTTCATTTATACACACTTTTTGAGAATTAATCATGCAACCGATGTTTAAGGCCATTGAATATGTAAACAAAATGTGTAAACTAACTTCTAGCTGAACTGTAAAAGAATTTACAATAAATGTTGGTTAAACGGCACTCAACTCGCCACTCATCGATTATTTGATTGTGAATGATTTTATTTCAATTTCAAAACACAAACAGAGCAAACAAGTTTATCCATACACTGATATATTTATTTATAGAATTTCCAGCTCACTCTGATCTCATTATTTAAATCTGTATAATCCATAAGTAATAAATTGCATATAATCCATATTGAACAACACAATAGGTGGAATTACACCTACGATGTAAAAGCGCTTTTTAAAATCCTATCGGGTTTCGACCCGCCTTTAGAGTCAGGTGTAATCACGATCGCGGATTTAGAAAAGCGCTTTTGTAATCCTCCCAGACCCCTAGTCATTAAAAACCGCTTTCACACCCAAAGGCGGTTTAACGTGTAGGTGTAATACCGATTGGTTTTCAAGGCGCTTTAACTCGATTTTACACTGAACGAAAACTATATTTGCGCATGAGCATCAAGCATGTTATTGATTTCCGGTGTGGAGGAAACTTCAAAAAACAAAATTCAAATATTGTGCAAAACTCAATCTAAAGTCTTATATTTATACGCCCATGGGCGTATAAAAAATGATAAAATAACGGACGAAATTACCCCTTCTTTCAGTTATACGCCCAGGGCTTATATACGAGAAATTCCGGTACTATTGTAGATTGAGGAAGGCGAGGGGAGGGGATGATTGAATAGTTGAAATTACCTCTCTACAATGAAGTAAAAAAAATGACGAGATCGTTCGTTCCTGTCCCATATTACCAAGGATGCCAAACAGCCCCAACAAAAGTACCATCTTCATTTTACTGGATCTCTCTTGGATCTCTCCTAACGACCGAGCTTCTCTCTTTGCGCGCTTGTGCATTGTTTTCCATGCTTTCTTTAGCACATATTTGTTAACGCCAGAGGTAGATTGAATACGATTTAAGAAAAAAGGAACATACAGTATCGGATCATTTTGAATCTCCAGAGATGGTAAAGTTGAAAGTGTATATCTAAATAGCAGATTTTGATGCAAATGCGATGGTTGATGGCAAATTTTTGTCTTAAATCAGTCTAACAGCGCTTTAGAAAAATCAAGTGTAATCACGAAAAGTTGTCTTCAAGGCGCTTTTAAAATTCTGGTGTAATCAGGATTGCGGTTTTCTAGCCTACGTTACCCAAAACGCCTTGAAAACGCCTTTAGCCATGAAATAGGTGTAATTCTACTAAGTGGCGTTATTTACTGAAACAGCTTACCGATAGATGTAGCGGTCGTTCCTGGTTGTCACGTGACTCGGCCTCGCTTTCAGTTATGTAGCGACCCTGGGTTAGCTAGTTATATTTTACTCTTACATAAATTGCCAACCTGGCACCCGGTGTCGCTACTTTCCTTCTGCTCTACAGCGCGAATAGTTCCGCTGCAGGGTCAGGGTAATAGCTGCTAGAGCTATATAGCTTTTGTATTCAGTACATTTGTTTTGCCAGGGTATTTTAACATTTTATTCTGTAAGGGTTGATCTCTCGCGAGAGACGGCGAGAAGAGAGTTGGCGCCATATTACTCACGAGGCAGTTTTGAAAATATTGGATATTTTGATTACTTTCGACACTTGATCAGGCCTGATCGATCGTTATGGCAGCCAGAGGGATGGAGAGAGTCGAGTGGCTGCAAAACTGAGGTTGTATTTTAATATTTGAACTCCACTGCAGCACTGAGCATATTTGAAGAAATATGGTGAATATTTTCCGCTTTTATTTTGTCTTTGACTTCGAGTCAACTGAGTGTGTATTTAATTTGGTTATTTGGAATAGTTGATCTATTGTGATTGATTTTCTTTGCTAGAATTATGTAATTTTTGGCTGGAAGATCTGGCCTAGTTTTTTGATATGCTCAGCGCGCAGGTGAGATTCTACACAGCGCCACCTTTTGACACTCGCTTTTGAACGTTGAAATTTATGTTGTTCTAATTGTAAGCGCTCATATAGCCGCCATCTTACTTAAGTCATTTGTAATCTTTCTGCCATGTAATTTCCTGTGATTTTCATTTGATAGATAAGACTGATGTAAAACCAGATCATAAGTATTTATTTACAATTAAACTTTAAAATTTTACTTGATTTGTCGTGTTGATTGTTTTTAGTCATTGATTGGTGATTTAGATGGAGTAACAGTAAAATGGCCCTATAATTAAATTTCTGATATCTTCCTAACTTCATTTCTTCATTCTGTTCCAAATCATTCTTGTTCAATTAGTGTTTTCAACTTTTGTGTCCATTCAAAGATGGCAGCACCTTACACATAGTCCAGTAATCAATCTTAGCATTCAGCTCAAATTCGATTCACTACGTTGCCATGGCCGTTCAGCTTACCACGCTACCACTTGTTTGCTTGTTCGGTCCTGTTTGTTTGTTTGTTTGTACGGGTTGCTTTGTTGTAGTATTGGTTAATTGATTGATTGGGCAGGCCGTACGTGGCAGTTTCGGGATTAAGACCGGAGCTGTTACAGTTATATGTTTAGTTTAGTTTATATAGTTTATTATAGTGTCACAGGTTCATACATATACAATAAAATACAATACTAAAATACATTAATTAAAAACCTCTAGCCGATGCCGGCTTATGAGACACTTATATGAATTCATAAATAGCATCAATATTACAATGTTATTGCAAACATTCAAGATTAAATGCCAAAAGATCAAACCAAACGTCTAAGCCATGCTTTATCCATTCCACAGGCGTAGAGCAGACCACACTCTTCATGTGCCACTGCATCTTAACCCAGGGTATCCCCTATGTCCTGTCCATGCAATTCTGTGGGCCTTCCAATGTACATCTCAAAGTCCCACTCAGGGCCCTGCTTTTGTAATTACCACTAAACAGTCCTTATTTGCACCCCTGACTTATTCCTTTTTCACAAGTCGACTGAGATCATGTCTTAATGCAATTGGTCTACCAGGTAGCAGTTACTCTGGGCATAGCTTCCGCCGAGGAGGGGCAAGTTTTGCACTTTCTCAAAATGCAAGTCATGAACTAATTCGTATTCAAGGGAATTGGCGTTCTGATTGTTATAAAGAATACCTGACTTTTTCAGATAACAAAAATAAATCTTGCAAAATCTCTACTCAAGAATCTCCCCTCAAAACCTACCTCCCGTTTGGGCATTTTGGGTAGAAACTAAAATTTGTAAACAACTATTAGTTACGTAATGTTACGTAATCTTGATAAAGTTCTACTTGACCCAAACAGAAGATTGTTTTTTTTACTTTATTCTATATTAGTTACAGAGGGGTTAATTAACTTGTTATGTAAATATCGTACTTTTATAATTGTCATTTGTGAATCAATTTAATTAAAAGTTTAAGTAATTAAACTTAATCTAAAGTATGAGCAAATTATGTAAGGTATTACTGACCTGCTGATCAGTGTCTAATTAGCATTTATTATTGTACTATTCATTGGACTAAATGTGTTACCTGCAATTTACTGTAAGGGCAGATATCTTGTTTCAGTCTTCCTAGCCATGTGGCCAGGAGACCAGTTTAGTTAGTTGCTTCTTGTTCTAGCTGACAAAGACTTAGCATGATAATTGAATCTTGAATTTCCACCCACCCACTTATCACAGCAATGATCATTATTGTTTATGACACTCAATCATCATGGTTTTAGCAATCGTATGACTCTGAATTATTATGGCACTCAATGGGCCATTAGCTATAGCACAATCTGTCAATAGTGACGTTTAAAAGTTCAACATCGCATTCAACTCTGGAAATAGCTTTGCTTATCTAAGTAGAACATTAGTGGGCCAAAAGATTTTGCAACCTTTTTAGAAGGCAAAAAAAGTATCATAACATTATGGTATTGACATGACTTTTTTTTACAGAAACTTAAGGATAGGCATATTGTACCATTCAAATACTTAAGCTAATACTGAATTCAAATTTTTTTGTCAGATGTTTGAATATTAATGGTAAATTGTTCATGTGTCCGAGATTTACCGATTTTCCTAGAAAATGTGATTTTCTATAATTTCATGTGATCATGGATAGAAAATTTATTATGTTCACTAAATCTGCTGCAATATTTGTTAACTGGTGTATTGGGCGGCTATTCATCAGAACTAATGAATCAAGGGGTATTTTGCTCCAGATATTCCATAGTGAATTTTGGCCTATGGTCAGGAGCGCTATCCTGCTGGGATATGTAATCACTTGGGGATGAAAGAGCCCCCATTCTTGAAAGATGTACCTTTTGAAGAAGATTAGTCCCGAGTCGATTGGCCACCCAATACACCAGATGCCAACCCCTGGGACTATCACACATGGGGGCACCTGGAGCAATGTATTGTAGTTAATGGATATACCCCACAAATTATTGATCAACTATAAGAAGTTCTGCAGGATAAGTGGAGACGACTACCACAAGAACTGCTGGATCTCGCCATTGACCAGTTCAGTTCTCGTCTCCATGTGATTGTGAAGGTGAAAGGCGGATGCATAGAACATTTGTTTAATAAATAATTAATACAGTGTAACTATATTGCCATAGTGACTAGATACTGATATAAACCTGTACTAGACATTGGTTAAACAGCTATCAAAGATTGTAGCAGATTTAGTAAACATAATGAATGTGTTATTGTTGATCACATAAAATCATAGAAAGTCAGATTTTCAAGGAAAAATTGTAAATCTCGGACAAATGAACAATTTACCATTAATATTCCAACATCTGACAAAAAAATTTGAATTCAGTATTAGCTTAAGTATTTGAATGGTACAATATGCCTATCCTTAAGTTTCTGTAAAAAAATTCATGTCAATACCATAATGTTATGATACTTTATTTGCCTTCTAAAAAGGTTGCAAATTGTTTTGGCCCACCCTGTAGTTTGTTAGTGTAGGGGTAGAAATTAAAATTTGTAAACAACTTAACTATTAGTTACGTAAAGTTACGTAATCTTGATAAAGTTCTACTTGACCCAAACAGAAGATTGGTTTTGTACTTTATTCTATATTAGTCACAGAGGGGTTAATTAACTTGTTATGTAAATATCGTACTTTTATAATTGTCATTTGTGAATCAATTTAATCACTTTATTACATATCAAAAATATAGGATAATATAATTAGTGGACAAATGTTAAATCTTACTTCAAAGGTACCCCTTACAGCCTACCCTTAAATTTGACTATGTGTTCAAGATATTTGTTTTATATATAATAATAGTTTTATCAGATTTTTCTGTTGTATTATCATAGAAGAATGACTCAGAATAAATTTTAATCACTTTTTACTTCCATTTGAGGCTTTTTGAAAATCTATTTCCGCCCCCAAATACCCCCAAAAGGTCATTTTATGGTCAAACTATCATGTATCTGTGCTTATATTTCGAGATTGGTTGGTTTAAAACTGATAAAGAAAATCATGGTGATACACTTTTGGGATGACCTTACTTTTGCTAAATGAATTACAAGATATGCAGAGTTTCTTTTAAAAGACTAATTTTAATTAATGATCAATACATATTTTATAATATTTAGCTTTTACTAGAGTTTGAACACCTATTTTTGATTAAGATTTGAAAATTACATTTTTGCCCTACCCACTTTGGCGGTGACTTTAGTTTTGCTTAATAACTTTCAAGATATGCCGTGAATTAGTATTCAAGACTTAATTCATTCAACATTTATCTTTTATTGGAGTTTGGAATTCCATTTCTGACTAAAAATTGATGATTTCATTTTCGCCCCACCCTCTTTTCTGGTGACCTTACTTTTGTTAAATAACTCATAAGATATGCAATATTTCTAGAAATGTTTTCAACTTTATTGATGGCCAATACATACGAGGGTTGTCCCAGAAGTAATGCACTATCTGCTCTAACTTTCTTTAATACCCTTCAATTCAGCTGAAATTTTGTGTGTATAACAATTTGGCTACCACAGTGGTATCCCAGTGATCATGGTATAAAATGGTGTATATTTATATTTTAGGTTATATTTCCATGTTCAAGGGTAACTACTTTTTTAGGTACAAAGTGGATGTTAATGAAACAAACTTGTTTGTTTCAAACAAATTTTGTACTAGGTATTTACTTCTGATGGTAGATAAAAAGGTTTTACTGTAACAAACTTTGATTAACTAATCAACCCTTGGACTATAGATGGCGATAGTGTTTTTATTATATTATTAAAAACCTATTTAATGATGATCAAAAAACTAAGAGATAGTGTATGTGGGTTAAAAATATGTTATATCCTCAAATAAGACTTGATTAAAGCTATGAAGATGTAATATCTTAGTTGTTTTCGTTAACCAGTAATTGCACAATAATATTTCAGCTTGTTTCCAAGGTACTGTATTTGGAGATTTTTAACAAAACAAGGGTCATAACGCCAGTAAAAGTTATTTTTATGACAGGATACATGCATCACTTTGTTGCATTATGAAAGAGCACATATGGTGCATATATTGGAAGTTATACAGCAAAAGTAAGGTCACCTCAAAAGTGGACGGGGCAAAAAAATTCCAATATGTCATTCTTCCTCAAAATGCAAGTTGAGATGTTGGTGTTTTATATGTTTATATGTTTTTTCACGACTCTTGGATGAAGCAATTCAGAAATATATACATTATAATATAATGTTTTGGCCATATTAAGACATATTTTGTGTTTTTTGGGAGGTAAATTGTCAATTTTTGGCATCAAAAGCATTAAAAGTAGATTTAAATACAATCTGAATTTTTTCCCTAAAACTAATACAACATCCAAACATGGAAAAACTATTCGAACATGGAGAAATTACTCTTTTTACATTAACCCTAGTCAAAATTGGGGTGGGGTTACCAAAGTTAAATTTCATATTTGTCCACTACTTGTATTTTCCTTTATTTTTAATATGTTGCTACATACATATGAATTCACATATTAAACCATGTTTCAAAACTATTGCCAGTTTGTCAGATCACCAATTGACTGGCCTAAATGTATATAAGCGAGCTCGTCGGTATGTTCAGCTCAATGTGGATCCTCAAGCTATCATCGGGTCTGCTTAACACCCGTGTATTCTATCCATTTCAGAAAAAGTACCATATAATATAATTCAATTCTCCGTGGCCATGACTTTTGCTAGAGTTTCTCTTGATATAGTCACCAGACATTCTGATATACATAGCATCTCTCTCACTTTGCATTTGGGTAACAGAGTGAATGAGTCTACACTGTGAAATTATGCACTTTTATTGCACTTTTATTGTGCATCGGACAGAGATCGATAAGAGCCATAAGACCACCAATGGAAAATTCTGGTCCATTTATTCCATAATAGCACTTTCAAGATAAATATATACATAATGTCTGACATTTTATATAGTACTCTAATCGTTCTTTTTTCAAATCATTTTTACAATTACACATTCAAAAATTGTTTTGTAGTTGAATATAAGGAGTAAGTCACTATAATAATTATTTCCTCTTAATATGTCATTCATATTTGATATATTGATGAAATATACGTTGCATCGTTGTTCATAAATGTTCATAAATGTCCCGGAGAATAAATGTTAGAGGCTATATGATAACTGTTTCAAATGTTATTTAAAGATGGAAGTAGTGACATCCCCAGATATTTTGATAAGTGTCATGTCATTTTCATCCTCGCCTTAACAAAATTCTAGTATCCATCTTGTTTAGTAGCATTTCCATTGTCATCCACGTAAGCAGTGTTTATGTGTTGGAACTTCTTGTCTCGGAACACACCCACATCCATTTCAACGTTTCCATTTTTCTTAAATAATAGTAAAACATATTATGCAAGCATGCGTTTCCTTTAGGTCATAAAACGTTTCTCAAGCAAGAGAAATCCCTGCATCCGAAAATGTATTTTTTCTTCAAACAAGTTAACTAAACGGATGCCACTTCGGAACCTCGAAGGTACGATTTTTTGCAGAATCTCTATGACATTTTTATCACAAACGTGTGTCAGTATAACATGTATAAGAAAACCTACAGATTTGCGAACAAAAGGTTCAGAAGGCACATAATCATTGATAAAGTATGATTTTTTGTTATCCATAATTAGCCTCAAATAAGATTCCTTATACGTAGAGCTTTTATGTAATACATATTAAAACATATTATGCAAGCATGCGTTTCCTTTAGGTCATAAAACGTTTCTCAAGCAAGAGAAATCCCTGCATCCGAAAATGTATTTTTTCTTCAAACAAGTTAACTAAACGGATGCCACTTCGGAACCTCGAAGGTACGATTTTTTGCAGAATCTCTATGACATTTTTATCACAAACGTGTGTCAGTATAACATGTATAAGAAAACCTACAGATTTGCGAACAAAAGGTTCAGAAGGCACATAATCATTGATAAAGTATGATTTTTTGTTATCCATAATTAGCCTCAAATAAGATTCCTTATACGTAGAGCTTTTATGTAATACTTCATCACTCATTGCGCTCCCTATTCGTGAGGCCTACACGGTTTTTAATATGATTTCAATCTGTAACTTATTCTTATAAACATACGAATAAGTATCAGTATAAGCAGAATTAAAATTGAAAATTAAACTTAGCTACTACCTCACTATTATTACGTAAACGGAACCGGGTTAAAAGTGCAGATCTTAACCGTCTTTGAATTTCCGTTTACGTAACAAAAGCGAGGCGTTATATAGAGCATTCTATCGTCTTCTCAACTATATGTTCGCAAACGTTTAACTTTTCTTAAACATATGATTCTGACACACGTTTGTGGTAAAATGTCGTGGGAATCCTGTAATTAACTAGTGTAGAGAGTGTAGTACAGTGCATTTGGTATATTAATTATAATGCAATCTGTGTGTAAAAACTATATTAATCATGCTTGTCATGTATTGGTCTTGTGTCTCCAAAGCCGGTATGTTTATATTGTTGTTATTTGTTTTATTTTATATGTGTGACAAATACCGTACATCAAATAACATAGAAGACATCCTAATGAGAGTGTTATCCACATTGTAATATAAAATAATAAAATAAATGTACAAAATGTCCACAGTACTGGATCCCATCTCCACCTCAGCCCCCTCCGTCCCTTAGCCCCCTCCCACAAGCACATGTAATGTATAGTGCCTTTAGAAAATATAGTTGATCGAGTGCTAGAAATGCGTCTCAGGATATCTGGAAATTATGGGTCAGTTTCAGGCCATGTTTATTGATATGTGGTTATCTTCAAAAGAGAATGTTTAGTTATGCGAATTGAGATTTCCTCATTCATATATTCTGCTTTGATAGGATAATGTTGAAGGCAAGTTTTACTATGGAATTTGCTATGGTATGTTGTTACTTACATGTTCTCCTAAATTAATCCGTGGCAATTTATATCTGATAAAAATACAGTAATATGTTGGAATAATGAATTCCTCGGAAACAATTCAATCATTGATTAAAAATTCTTCTTCTTATATTTAGGTTTATGATTCATTAAATTTTTTTTCAGTTTTGTTTTAAAGTGTGATACAGGTACACCATTCTAAATATCAGTTCTTAACTTTGCTGGTCGAAATTCATATTCTTGTCCAGTTGAATGATCATGAATTCCATTATTAGGAATTAAATCATATTTGAATTGCCTCTCACAGGGTTTGTTAGTACCTTTAATGTACATAATAAACACAAACCGCAATATATGTATACTATTTGGAAAACATTCAGGATATTGGCTCTTTTAAATGTGAGAGTGTGTGACTCTATGTTGGCAGTTTATATCGATAATTCGAATAAATTGTTTCTGTAGTAACTTGGTCAAATACGATTGAGGAACAGTTCCTCATATTATGTAGTTCCAGTTCAAGCATGAATAAATAAGTGAATGATATATTATTTTCAAATCTTTATCATCTAAATTGAATTTTACCTTATAAAGTACACCTAGCGTTTTTTATTTTTTGTTTCAACGTGTTTAATAGTCACATATGAGGCTTCCATGATAATGTTTCATCGATAAGTACGCCGAGAAAGTGTCCAACTATAGCTCTATCTAAACGTGTATTATTCATGTAGAGTTTATTTTTCATATTCAACTACTTTTTTGAGACCTGAATATAACATAATTTGTCTTTTTATTGGAAGTTTGTTACACTTTAACCATTCATTTATACAGAAAGTTCCTGATTTACTGTGGTATTAAGGTAATCAAGATTGTTACCAGAGAACAGTATATTTGTATCGTCTGCATATAGGAACATTTCTGCAGCCTCGGAAGATCTGTAAAGGTCATTAATATAAATAACAAACAAAAGAGGTCCCGAGATTGTTCCTTGTGGAACACGACATGAAAATTGAACAATATAAGAAGTTTCTCCTCCAAACTGTACCACCTTAGGTCTTATTTACAAACACCTTTGAAACCTTTCGGAGGCAGTTCCCCGAATACCATAACAATTTTATTTTTGCAACAATATTCTGTGATTCATGGAATCAAAAGCTTTGTAAAGATCGCACATTGATTCTATGGACTATATGTGACCTTCTAATGCAAGGCGTACTGAATCAACACGTTTTAGAACAGCCATAAATGACGAGTGATCCTTATTGAAACTGTACTGATGTTCGTTTAAGACGTTTTGTTTCTCTAAGAAATCAAGTGACCTGTCGGACATACATTTTTCATTAATTTTAGGAAGTAAACACAGAAGATATTCATGCTAAGCTACCCTAAAATTACCGTTACGATAACCCTACTATAACACCAAACTAGTTCTCACTACCATCCGTGACTAAGAACCGTCTGGGGTCTATTTACAAAGGAGGAGGGAAGTTAGTGCAACAGATTTTGGACAGTCATATGTTTGATTTTGGCCATTTCCTGGGGATTTAAACAGGTGCATATGTTAGGCCAATGCATTACCTCCAGGAAAATCACTTCTAGAGATGATAAAATAATTTCGACTTTGAGACAGGGTGGATGCAAACAACCCACCCACATGTTTTTTCTGAAACGTTTTCCTGATTTTCAACCCCTTCCATCCCTGCTTTTTTAATTTTTCTTGCATCAATATGTTGCATTTTGACACACAGTTAATCCCTTAAAAGGAATAAATGATTCCTTTTAATTAGATAAAATGGAAAACAATATTTCCCATGATATTTTCCCATAGGAAAAATCATTGCTTTCAGCTAAGTTTGGTCACCCATAATGGGTATCTTTAAAACCCCTGAAGGAATCACTTAATCCTTTAAAGTGGTTAACTATGTGTCAAAATGCAACATATTGATGCAAGAAAAATTGAAAAAGCAGGGATGGAAGGGATCGAAAATTAGGAAAACATTTCAGAAAAAACATGTGGGTTTGCATCTACCCTGTCTCAAAGTCGTAATTATTTTATCATCTCTAGAAGTGATTTTCCTGGAGGTAATGCATTGGCCTAACATATGCAATTGTTTAAATCCTCAGAAAATGGCCAAAATCCAAAATATGACTGTCCAAAATCTGTTGCGCTAATTTCCCTCCTCCTTTTATGAACGTAACAATGTAAGTCCTAAAGAACTTAGGGCATGCTCAAAATTTTCTGGAGAACTATATGTTCTCAATCGAAACGATGCAAATTAAAATATGCCCAGTAAAATAAAATGTTATCTGTCAAATACAAGAAAAGATATTTCACTTTTTGTGATTTTATTACATGGGGTTTATGGGGAATAAACCCGAACTAGAAGTCACATTTTCAAAATAAAATAAATTTTCAAAGTTGGTAAACAATTTTCGAAACAATATTTTTACATGTAGATCTTAAAGAGAGAATCAGATATTGCAACCAGGCTAAACCAAAAATTGTCTCAATTTTAGAATATCTTTTGGCTCATGTCATTCCTTGTCATATTTATTTTCTAAAAATCACAAAAGTGCATACAAGTCCTGACTATTTAATAAAGGAGAAAACCATCTGTTCCTTTAATTTCAGTCAAAAAATAGAAAAATACCATAGTAAAATGTAATTTTAGAAATGATTTGCTTTATTTCAGATGAACAATTTGTAAATTGAACAATAACATTTACTTTATACTTTATTCAAGGAAAACTAAAGATTCTACAATAATGTGTAATTTGTCTATAAGAATGGTTACCATTCTTATTATTTAGGAGAATTTAAACATTTTCCACCCATTTTTGCATTTTGAATCATTAATAACTTCACCAATTTATAACATAGTGTGAATCTTTTGGGAGATATTGTATTTGATATTGTAAGGAATAGATTGGTAGGTCAATTACAAAAGTTGCTTGTAATTTTGTCACCCACTTTAGATCTGATTCTGAACAAATATTTCACTCTATTGAGGTGAATACCTGTACATCTTTCACAAGTGATATTCCACGAAGCCCGAAGGGCAAGTGGAATATCACCTTGTGAAAGTGCTACAGGTATTCACCGAAAATAGAGTGAAATATTTGTTTTATTATATCACTGTCTAGCTAAACATCCCTAATATTATTAAGTCGTTAAGTCTTCAGATATTTTTACGAATCTACTCGGTTCGTCTGCCATTTTGACTTACACTTACACCATTTTGATTTACACTGAACGAAAACAAATTCTTTGAAAATTCCCGGGAGCGTGGGATATCGCTAGATATCTCACGGTTGTCTTATCTGATTAGCATTGCCATTGAATATCGCCAGATATCCCACGACATGTGACCCGGTTTTGACCAATCATACTGTCGCTAGCTAGATAGTGATATAATAATGCCTGATATCACTATGACTGAATTTTGAAAATACAAATGACGTAAATCAAGATTATCTCTACTCGCATCTAGTTTATTGCCGTACTGCGATGCTACTAGAGACCCCTTAACGACGTTGTGCGGTCGGATGTCAATTGCAGTTCATAATTATAGCGAATCGACAATGTGCGACCTGAACTGCATGGACGTATTGAAGACGTAACTAAGTATTTTAAACATATTTCCCAAACCAGTCAGATTAAGTCCGTTTTACGACATTTTTGTGGAACAGGAGAGAACGGTTGAGAACTAGTTTGGTGTGATAAAGGGGTTAGCAACAATTACCTGTTTTGCGATGTTATCGTCTCGACACCCACAGCGTGTATTTTTTACACTGGAGGGACAACAACAACAGAGTGCATCACAGAATTGGAAAGTGTATAACTCATCTACATGTCTTCCCTTTTCACCACCTTAAAATTGAAATGTAAATCAATATTCTAATCTGATGATACGTTTGCACCTTTTGCATGTTTCTTACATCAATAGTTTAAACAGATACAAATTATATATATGTGTACAATTATTTTGGATAGTGAACATGATACAGTGTATTTTAGACTTAAAATTTATAAACCCGTGTCCCTGATATTGTCATCAATTATAATTAATGCATATGCATGTATATTAATAATTGACGAAGGACCATGATGATTACCTGTTGTCCAACTCACTACAAGACCTACAACCACGGCAATCAGTATTCCCATAGCAGAATAAAGCTGGTAAGAAATACTGTACAAATACTGGATGCCAGTTCTATGAGTATAATAGGTTATAATACATTTAATTAATTCAGTTTAATTACAGAAAAGACAAAAATCTGTATTTGTATTTGTATCTGTATTTCACGAGGCGCAAGAAGTTATAAGAAGCGCTTCTCACAGCTAGGGACACGAAAGGAGGGACTCTGCACAATAGAATAATGTACCAACATTTTTCTTTTCTCAAATTTCATTTCTCAAATATTCAGATTTCCCGTAATTTTTCAAATTTTCAAATAAAAGTTGAAATTTTCTGATTATTAAATATTCCAGTACATAAAATTATCTTTTTAACACCAATGAACAAAGGACACACTATTTCAATAATAAAATACCATATCTAATGTGCTACTTCAATGTTTTAGCAAATCGAAAATATTTTGCAACCTAAGTGATGTCATCGTGTCATCACTCAGGTGCATTGGTGTGAATTATCGCTCATTAAAAGATACGCGTGACCTCTACACTTTTTGAAATAAAAAGGAAATTTTCAAAAAATCATCAAAATTATCAATTTTCGACCAATTGTATTTGAGGAAAAAAATTGAGAAAATTTGGAGGTATTGGAAATAAAGTCAAGTTACGTTTCCATCAATATTATAAGTTATTTCATCGCCGGTTACCCCCCTATCACACCAAACTAGTTCTTACCCGTTCTTGCCAGTCCTACGAAAACGTTGTAAAACGGGCTCAATCTGGCTGTGGTCGGGAAATATCTCTAAAATAATTAGCTACTTCATTCATAAACAGTCGTCAATACGTCCATCTCATTCGCAGTTCGTTCAGGTCGTACCACGATCGGTGTGCAACGTCGTATAACGCGTCCCTTAGTCTAGAAGGTCATCATGACCTGATAAAAGAACGGTATGGTCGCCATCGAATTTTGAATCGATTCAAAATTCTAAAATCACCTTCCCCTCTGAGAACGTTCATGAAGTTCGTAAATAGACCTTAGAACGTTGCATCTACGTTCATTCCGTTCGCACACAGTTTAAAACCAGTTTTGAAGAACGCAGTGGCAACTTGTTTGGTGTGATAGCTATATTTTTGCTAACTCGTTCATAAGCAGTCTTTAATACGTTCTTAGTCAGTTTAAACCCGTTTGCAATTAGTTCTACCTCGTTCTCAATACGTCCACAGATAGTTCAACTCGTTGTAAAAACGTCCCTAGTAGGATTGAAGTACGACAGTTCCGTTCGTAGTACGTCCAGCTCGTCGTTAGTACGTTGTCACTCGTTCTAATTGTAGAACGTGACGACCACGAGAACATTTTGAGCATGTTCTAAGTTCTAGAGGACCTACCCGTTCGAGTACGTTCGATGAAGTTTGTAAATAGACCCCAAGCGGTTCTAAGTACGTCCAGTCCGTTCGTACACAGTTGAAGCCCGTTTTCGAGAACGTAGTGAGAACTAGTTTGGTGTGATAGTAGGGTTAAGTAAATAAAAATTCAAACGTAAAAGGGCTTTAACACGTAGTTCAATGGGGGAGCAAAGGTTGCCAAACTTATGGAGGGGAGTGTATCTTAAAATATGTAAATTTAAATTTAAAATACAAATAAGGCAATATTTTTTTTCTTGAACGGCATAGGAAACACAATATATGATTTCGTGAGTTGCATCATCTCGCACATGTTTTCTTTCTATATTAACTTACAACTCCTGATCCTTGGGTTCGAAAGCAATCGTTGTACCAATTGTATCATTATACCATGATCCGGAACTGTTATAGACGCTGCTTCCATTTGCAATGCTACATCGATCTGTTGGGCCAGGAGGTAAATACTGATTATTGCCTTTAATGGATTGGCCTCCAATAGCAATCCACACCATGATCGGGAATGATACCATTGGCCCCGCTAGCGTACCCTGGCATAGAATAAGGCTGTATTTTTGTATACCCGCGGTGCAAGTGAATTACGTAATATTTTAATGAGTTTCTTCCCCAGGTATCACTAAAAAGAACAATAAGCCCTGCAGTGCAAATTACACGCTCGAGTATTTTCACCTAAGCGCATTTACATTCACATAATTTTTTTGAAAGACATCACGGTTTATTGCAATCGAACTCCTGTGGTGCACTAGCAACTAGCCACTCGGTTGACACACGCGTTTTGCCGACAAGATTGACACATCGTACTTAGCGGTGTAAGTGCGCTTGGATGAGTTGTTGAAACCGTGTGGCCATGTAATTTGCACCGCATGGGCTTATTGTTATTTTTCGTGATACCTAGGGGGAAAACTTATTAAGTATTATGCAATTGACTTGCACCACTGGCAGTTCTAAAACACAGTCTAAATTGTGCGAGAACAATTATGCATGCGATGTAATATTTTCTATTATCGAAGTAGCTCAATATCTCAAAAAGGGTGACGGCACATCATCAATAATTTCCAGGCTGTAATTTCAGTCAATACTATGATTTCAATTCCCAACTTTTTTCTTATTCTTCTGCAAACTTCGGCATCCAATCCATTATTTTACTTTCCTATCAAAAATGATTGAGAATACAATTTTGATTTATTTCTAAACTTTCTTCAGGTAAACTAAACTGAAAATAACTCTGATTCAGTTTACCTGAAGAAGAGTTAGAAATAAATCGAAAGGAATTCTTTCATTTTTGATAGGAAAGTAAAATAATGGATATGATGCCGAAGTTTGCAGAAGAATTAGAAAAAAACTTATTCTCAGTTGCAATCATTTTTGATGTTTTTAACACTTATCAATATTACATTCCTATGGTAATTTGATAAACAGAACCTTCTAAATAAAGAAAGGAATGTCAATTGTAACCTAATACCCCTATTTTAGGCTTTGCAGCGCACTCTGCCGTAAAAACAAAAATGTCAGCAAATTCAAGATATCAAATAAAACAATCTTACAGATGTAAATGGTGATCTGAGAGTTTTGTTATCAATGGATGATATGCAAATTGGAGACTGTTGTAACACACTTCTCAAAAACACATCAGAAATATTTGACAATGATCCACAAGAATTCGTTTCTGAAATGACCGAGCAAAAATTGTGAACATGAAAGTTAAAAGTGAAATAGCGGTAAACCGGGAATAATTTATTAGAAAAACTCCAAAATAAATCGTTGGTGCCTCAAACCTGTGAAGAATGGCGATGACCTGAACCTTCTTTTGTCAAAGTACCGGAGCCTGAAAAATCACCACCTCGATATCGACGAAAGAAGTTTCAGTTTGGATTGACTGCGAGAGCAAAATTCAAGCTGAGCTAAACTGTTTATCATAAAATTGACCTCTTTTTAACTACGCAATCGGTGAACGAATCGTTGTTTTTGTGTTACAGTACCTACCTTTAGACACTTCGCCACCTATCGTAAGTTTATCGAACTAAAATGTAATTTTTTCGATCCAAATAGAAAAAAATGCACAAAATTATTAACTCCGCTTGACATAATCCTCGTCACTCTATCGTTTTCTTTCGGATTCATAGCTATTCAACCAAGCCACAAAAAGTATGTATATTAGTTGTTCAACATGTTCAATTGTGTTAATATTTTCGGCATTCTACCTTTAAAGCACCAAAAACCAATGATGAACTTATGAGACCAAACTGAAATTGTTTAAATTCACAGTTTCTTGTACAATATCAATAAATATATTTTATGTAGCCTACTTATTATCCGAGGGTTATGTTTGAATTGTATAAATCTTATTTCATTCTATATTGGAAATTTAAAAGCATGAGTGCATGGACTCGCCTTCAGCCTTATGTGTATGGGTAAGTACATAGCCTACCTTCCAATTGGAAGTCACCGTGAATGCTGCCAATACAAACATGCCGATAAGACTCCCACTTATAGCACCACTTAAAGTTGAACCAGCCTGTGTGTTTAAAAACAAAAAATTAAAAAAGAAGTTTGGTAAAATTTATTGATATAACTTGACCAAATGTACGATCGCCGTCATTTGGTTGAGTTAAAAGATAGATTGAGTCGATACCGATATCATTAAGATGATCATGCACTACCAAAATGGCTGGTGAATCTATTAATTAAATGATTGCAAGCGTTCGATTAAGCCTTCGTAGGCGTACGTCATGTCCGTTCAGACGTAAATGACGCGCGTAAAGATGTGAATTACGCGGTTTTAATCGCATCCGTTTCTTAATGCCTCTATAGATGTTTTGAAATTGCTGTTTAGTACTTATTACACATACCTGCATAATTGGTCCTTTTATGAACATAGCTAAAATAGCAATCCCTGTTGAGCAAACTCCATAGATTAGAACTAAAACAGAATTTGATGTAGGTGAGTATAACAACTGAACAAAGACATAGTATGCATTCATGAGGAAAGCATGTACTCTATCATATTATCTTTATCTGAATAATAGAAATAAGAAAATGGAATCTGCATTTCAACTCCATACAATTAGAACGTATTTTCGTAAACGTGATCGTGTATAATTTAGAATATTGCCCGACCTAGTAGCTTTGTGCACAGTGCCTTCCTTGACTCCTTAAGGTGTCTTAATCTGTATTTGAGGAAATCCTCCCACGTGATCGCCGACAGGGCATTTAAACCTGAGGACATTGTGCTGAAATTACAAACAAAATATTCTATTCTTCATTAGTTTATTGATATTTGTTTACATAGTGTGCCTTACAAATTTTTGCAAAGTATTATAAGAATGTTTATGAATTAGGCCATAAAAAGTAGATTTTTGGTACAAGGAAAACAAACACAAACTCAAGAAAAAACACAAACTTGTTTATGGGCATAAAAAGTGATGACATACCAATTTGCAGTGATTACAAAAGCATATCTATACATTATATACAATATATTTAAACATAGCTATTATTCAAGGGTACAAAATAAGAAAATACACAATGTATGCCAAAGTTATCAATAACACTGTCAATTTTGACGCACATCAAATTATCCGCCATGTCTGATTCTGATTGAACGAAATGCGATGGTACTTTCAGACCCTTGTGTTTGCTATTTGGATGTGTTTGTTTTTTCTGATTTACTCAAAATCGCGCAAGCAAGGGGACGCTTAACAAAGAATCCACTTCTTATGGCCTTATCGGCATTTTTGGATAAATGCAAACTACACTTACCTCAGCGCTCCACTGAAGAGGGTTGCAAGAAATAGTCCCGGGAAACCAGGGAGGCTCCTGAATGTATCCATCACAAAATATGGCAATATCTACAAAATATTATAGTGTCTGATAATATAGGAACCTGTGCAACATGATAATGAAATCATTCTACGAGCTTTTAAAACTCGTCACGAAAGAGGCGATACCTAATGTCAAGAAAACCCCTAAAAACCACAATCCATCTCCCTTTCAAGTACAATTCTTTTTAGCATTTATAAAGTTAAACTTTAATTTTGATACTCGTGCACTGTTTCCTAATTTTGTAAGGCAAGGAGTTTTTGTAAAGGATTTTGTGAAGTGTCTATTTTTATAATTATATTTTAAAATTCTTTAAAAGAATTCAATATCTTATGGGTACTATAATTTTAGGAACCTTAAAAGGCTATAGACAAAATTATATTTAGAAAGTTTAAAATTCATATTTATTAAATCATTTTCCAGATTAAACCTCTTAATATTTTAAGTTGGTACTTGCTGTACAAACTGCAAAAAAGATTCATCAATGAAATTTTTAGTAATTCATATTATTAAGTATTTAAAAATTCTGAAAAGCTCCCTGGATGATGTAAGAAATAAATAAGAAGATAAAAGAAGAATTTCACTCATTTTTTGACATTACTGCTGGATATGTTTTAAGGTTTATGAAAAAAAAGAAAATAGAAAAGTGTTCAGTTATTCACTTCGAAAGGATTTTGGATTTTCTTGTTTAACACCCAAACAACTCCAGCAAAAAAGTGTTAAGTATGGTTCGCGTGTATGGTCCTTCAAGGGGAGATAAACGTTTAGTTCCAATAGGATACGTTTGATATCTAATTTCTCTAAATACTTGTAATACTTATTCTTTGTCTAATTCGTATTTCTTAGTCAAGATTACTAGAAATGTGATTTTTCAGAACATTTTACCTGATTTCCTGTTTTAACGTAACCCTGTTCAAGGGGATCACAGCCAATTTGTGCATAGAACGCAAACATGACGAGTCCCCCGAAACAAACCAATGTAATCAGTAAAACCTGCATTGGAATGGCCAGCAGAACAGCTCTATAAAATACAGGCTTCATATACTGATGGGCGTGATTTAAATAAATTATGTCATTAAATGGGAAATAATTATGGGAGCTACTCACTTCTTCTGATTAAATAGTTTACTTGCATCATGGTGTTTAACAGTTTAATAGGGCTTGTTTTGCTCGACTTACATCTTGTTTAACGCGGAATATACCATATATTCATGGTCTCGCGGTGAATATTCTTATTACTCACATGCAGAATATATTATATGCTACATTTTCATGATTTAATGAATATGACATATTCAACTGCGGAATATGAATATTCACCTGTGGCATATGACAGATATTTGTAACCTATTTACCGCATAACATCTTGTGCGTACGATTCCAACGTTCTTTTTATGTCGATAAGATGCCAGCGATGCCAGTGGTTTAAAAAACTTAAGTTGTACTCACATTTCTGCTTTCTTTAGAGTGGGAAGTGAACAAAACCTTTGAACACTGGCTTGACCAGTTCCATAACTTTTCCACCAGAGGATTGTGTTTGAAAGTGTTATAATCCAGAATGTATTGACTCTTGTTGGATCAAAATTAAAACTAAAAAATAATCATATAATATGTTAATAGCTGATTTTGTCTAATTAAAACATGAAATACGAAACTTTAATATATCGTTTAATATATCGCGATGACGAAACATTCAGAAGTGTACTTACTCGAAGAAATTGAGTCGACCGTGTTCTTGACAAATCTCAAATACTTTGGAAACACTTCCAATTCTAACAGTACCCTGATCAGAAAAATAAAACAAACTACTATAATATTAGTCAAGTACAAGTACATGTTGGGTGATCAACATTATTAAGTTTTCTGCACTATTTCATTCTCGAATGAATAACTTAAATTGGTTGCATTTAGATTAATTATTTGATGATAGAGATGAAGACAATAATTGCCAATTCATATTACCATGACAACTACTGCCAGAATACCACCAAACATGATGACCGATTGGAATACATCTGTCCATATGACTGCCTTCATTCCTCCCTACAAACATATTTCTTTACATAAGATAAGATACAGTACTAGAAAGTAATTATAGCAAATATGAATTCGTATAAACAGCCAAGTACAATTGGGAATACTAGTAAAAAGTTAGAAAATATTCCCAAAATAGTTTAGATTTATTTGTTTTGATTGTATTTACTGAAGTGACATTCGAGTATGTACCACTACCTATAGCACTTAATATGAAAAACTGAAAGTACACAGACGGATTCGTTTCAGTAATGCACCATTCAAAAGTTCGCGCGAGACCCCCCATGCGGGCCTGGGTGGGGATTTGACAAAAAATGTTACCCCGGGGCAAAATAAGTCTGTCAATTTCTCTACCCTTGAAGCAAAAATCTGGTCAAATATTCGCGACCCCCGGGTCTTTCCAACATTTTAAATCTATTTTTGAACATCAGATTTTCTTGAATGTTGAGGGATACACGTGCAATACTTTGTTTATGTCAATATTTTAATTAGAGGCACCATATATGGTCATAAGATTCTTCGCGGATGCTACAATTAATTTATGAATAAAAAGTTTGCTTACAATTTTCAAATAACCAAAAGAGAAGCAGTTTTTTAAATGACGCAATTACCCGCGAAATCAAAAGCAAATGAGAATACAGTCCATTTTATGACATTTTCGCAAACTGCCTGAAAGTTTTGACAAAAATGAGCCGAGGGTGACATGGTTTTACCTGTGGTTTGTATCTTTTCAACAAAAGTGGAGAACATACCTGTATGAACGATCATTTTTTGTGGAATGGGCGGGTGGATTGTTGCGTTTGATGGGTACAAATTGGGAACAGATCCACATCGTAGTAATTTTCGAAAGGTCTCTTGTAATTTATGCATTGACGTATTTTTAGGTAATGGATTTTTACTTTAATAGGTTACCTCCCTCCGTTTTATTCATCTATATCAAATTAAATTTAATTAAAATCTGTTCGACCGTAAAAATTTTCAATAATTAATTGTAAATTAAATTAATTATTTATTTTAAATCAATTAAATTATGACGAGCTTATAAATATAAGAACGCGAAAGTGCATTTTTCCGAAGAGAGGGATAAAACAAGCTTGACAAACCAATAATTAAGACACTGCTCTGCATTCAAGAATTCCTCTCTCTCCAGCGGTTATTCACGGCGATTCCACCCCTGAAACTATACCCAACGTGTAGATGAGTTATTATCTTCTGTTCCCGATATGAACATTTGCAAATTCCGAGAATCCTAAAGTACATACTGGACGAAACAGATTCAGTCAAAAGTCCCCATTCCCGGACGACAATCTTCGTCAAATTCCTACCCCTGGGGGCAATATTGTGTATCAAATTCCTTACCCTCCCCGCGTGGGGGGGGGGGGTCTAACGTAAAATTTTGAATGGTGCACACGAACATAACTACAGGCCCGCCGGTGTAGGTAAAGCTTTTAAACAGTTGCTATAAGTTCAAACCGTATCTGGAACCGCACTTGATTCGAAAAAAGAAACAATTTTAATCTTGATTTGTAAAAAAGAAAAAATCCTATCAGATATGTTGCCATCTTATTACTCGAACGTATCCGTCGTCCTAATTATCATACATGTACATGTTTCTCCACAATAGGTATACGCCATCTATTCATAACTTAAATACACTTACAATGGACGTGTATATAGTTCCAACGCCTACAGTCAGCAATATTGACGCCCAGACAGGAAAACCAGTAACTTTAAAAGCAAACATTTAATTTACATACCATGTATGGTGTTCATCATTTTTTTTAATTCGCGAGCACGTGCTGTTTTTTATTTAAGCCTAAATGTAAGTGTATCGGTCATTATCTAAATAAGTGTATTCTATATAGGGTGTCTCAAAAAATGTACCCAAATTATATCAACGGCAATGATAACCCAATCTATATATTCAGATTTTTTTTGCATGGTGATTTAGGCAAAACATGAACGTTTTCTCTCTAGTACTAAATCGTTAGTCCAGTCATGCCTTTTTAATACCATTTTTTCATATTTTGATGACAGCCTGCATCCTTACTGCTACATCGTCGATCACATTTCACATTTGGAATGTATTGAATTTCTTTTCAGATGTTGGCCTTAAGATGTATTAGGTCTCTTGGCTTGGGGTTGGCATAAATATGGTTCTTCAAGTAGCCCCAAAGAAAAAAGTCTGGGGTGTCAAATCTGTTGAATAGGGAGGCTCTCACAATGTATTTATTAAGAGACATCGGACGTTGTAGAAAACATTCCACCAGAAACATTATGAAATGTGATGAACAATGAAGCATAACGATGCAAGCTTTCATAGAAATATGAAATAAAAAGTAAAGGATTTAACCATCAAAAAATGTAAGACTGAACTAAACATTTTGTTTTGGGGAGAAAACTTACATGCTTTAGCAACATGACCATGCTTAACATGTTTGATAACATTGATTGCTTTAGCTGTGCTGTTGATATACTTTTGGGTACATTATGTATACATGTAGTCCCCTTTCATGCAGATACCGTTTTAAATTACCTAAAGGAGATACGGCAATATAATGATCTTGCATATTTTACCTGCTTCAAGAGCTGTGGAAGGTGCAAACGCAGATGTACCCATATATGTTAGCTGAAACGTTTTGAAAATAAAAACGTTAATATATTGTACTATAATTTGATAATAAATTCGATTCATTTTCATATTTTTGTTTTAATATTTGAGCAAGACACATGGCGTCACCAATAAGCCCTTTTAGCCTAAGCTTATTCCATTTATAGATGGCAGTCATATGATAAAAATTCAGGAAATGATAACATAGAAGGTATGGGGATTCTCTTGATTTTTCACCCTTTTCTTTGATTCTTTGAAAAAATTATTTTTATTTAAAAAAATTCTTGGGCCATAGGTCATGATAAGATTGTTATCTATTTAAAGACATCAAAGATATATCTTTTCCAACTGTTATATAACTGGAAAATGACTAATTGGTCAAGGGTCACTACAGGGCCATACATTACATGTGAATTAGTTAATCTACTTTCTTCTTAGTATTTTTTCTGAAGGTACAAGATATATAACATCTATAATAACATTTTTTAGTATTCGTTAATAAAAATGTCTGGAGAAAAAACTTTAGAAACATTTTCAATGATGTCAAATATAAGTGTAAGTTGACACATTGGATCAGTTTCTGACTCTGCGAATAAATTATTTGGGATTAGTTATAAAACTATGTCTGAATGTAAACTCTCAAATCCTGCATCAAATATCTGAATGATCTCTAACTATCTAGTTAACTTAACCTTTTATCCTGTATCAGTATGTGGACAAAAGTAAACATTGTAATTCAAGCTGCACTTAAAACAAGCAGTATCTTACTGGTGGCTATATAAACCTATTGACCCCAGGTCATTTTGGTGATTTAAGCTGACCAACATCAAGCCAAATATTTTAAACAAAAGAGCCAATATTCATCTTTATTTTCCATTATTTATGTTGTTTTAAAAGACCAAAAAACTTCATACCAATGAAATATAAGATCTTACCTAAAGATCTGTTGATTTTCTGAATGACTGGGGAAACAGAAATGGTAGCATTATGATGTTAAAATCATAGTATAAATGTGATGTTTTACATGTTAGTTCAATAGGGAACTGCTTTAGGCCTAAGATTCTTTTCCTGAAAATGGGCTAGACATCTATTGCTGTTTTGGCTGTTTATAGAGTATTTTCAACTATTTAGCTAGGCTAAACTCCTGTATTTGGCAGTACCTCACCACTCCTTTTTCTATCATGGGGACTATCTACTGGGCATATTTGTCTGTCTGATCAGCAGCCGGTATACATGTATTAGATAACCCTCTCTACGTAATATACCTCATTAAGTAACGACTTTGAATGCCACTTTATACAATTATGTGTATGATAAAATGTTCAATATACACAGGTTTTACTGTGCTAGTAACTTTTTGACATCGCAACGCAGTTATGACCTGATATTTACACAATCCACTTATAGTCCTTTGTTACCGTTGTTATTTCATGAATAAATGTTCATGAATCTCATGAATGTTTAATATACATTTTGCTACCTGCCTGACGAACTTTGGACCCTTACCGTTGAGATGATTCCCAAGACAGAGCCAAGTTTTCGAACGGCAACAGAGTCGAACCTCAAATGCAAGTACTGAAATGCATAAACAATAGATGAGGGTATCTGAAAAAAACAATTTATCCTATTTGCTATATTACTCGCTAGATTTTTAATTATTGGGAATTCGGTCAAAAGCACTGAACTGGATTTTTTATCTTATTAGTCCGAGATGATTCGTTTTTATCATCTTCTCTATTTTAAACATCAGAGCATTTACCAACAATGTACTGATTTAGAGTTTTTTAAAATGTACGATGGGGTTCTTTGAGAAATGAGTCAAATCCATGAAATATCGAATTACCTCAAATGTGCTTGTGATTTGAAGTTTGTAAAACAATGGCACCCAGAGCCTTGTTGTGAGAACGGTTCCTATGAGCAGTCCGATATTACCTACATATATCTGGGCTCCTCGCATGTACATTTCTGCTGGGTAACCTAGGATCATAATAGCTGACTGGAAGGAGACCAGCAAAGACAAAGCTGTAGGGATAATTTTCAGTTGCTTATCTGCTGTAAGATATTCCTTCGTTGTCTGCTGCCGACCCCCACTTAAAGCGTAATAAACTCCAATTCCAAGAGATGCAAGAATAAATATTGCGAATACCACATAATCGGCTATACCAAAACGTGTAACTCCTTCTAGCACCATTTTAAGGAATGAACGGTTAGCTAAAACTCGACTAGTTGTTTCCTGATTAAAAGTCTTAAGTCATGTAAGTGGTGAAACTTGAGGATCGAGTTACGAAACCGAATCAGTTTCCGTAATAAAATGGCGTCAACGGTGTCATGTAAAAGTACAATACAATAGGTAATTCCAAACTTTAAATTACCCAATGTTAATAACTAATTGGTGCAGCCGTTGACCCAAGATTAATTTTTCTTTTTCCATGATTTCATCGATATAGGCAGAATCTTCATCACCTTTTGCGACAAACATTTTTAGTTCAGAAAGTCGAAAAGTTTCGTAACATGCAAGAATCATCAACATGCAACATGTAACGTAGACCCCCTGGTTTCTCATAGAAATATAAGGCGCGATACTTTATCTTAACACGGGATAAGATTTTGTGATGTGGGATTAGTGCTTGATATAGATCGTAGTGTGAATATAAAGAAATAATATATTCGAGTTGAATAGTTGATATAATAGTATTTGGGGAGCTTCCAAACTTTCCTACATATCTTGGATTTCAAAGAGCATAGGTTACCACAATCCAGATGATCACACACATATCTTTGATAATAAATAGTTTACTTCCATTAAAAGTATAAAACAACGACAATTGATTTTATCAGAATAAGTGATATTAATGGGCAAATGAACCGATCAACATATTTTTTCAAATGTTGAAGCACACAACAAACCAATCGAGTTTTTTTAAACTTTTTTATTAATTTATTGCTATCACTTTTAGATCGGTGGCACATAGTTAAACTAGTGCAGCAGTTAAAAACATACAATACATGTGTACAAGTACAATTCTAAAGCAGAGCTAAAAACATTTGCGCAATAAGACATAAAAACAAAACTAAAACATTTGCAATACATTAACTTGTTGGTGCTACATATATGTTTTTGATAAAATACTTTGAGCATGCATCAAAAATATAACCTTGTTCTTGACCCAAGATAGCATAGGCCGCATCCCCAAGCACCCATTTTAAACCATTATTGGGAATACTTGTCTTAAAATAATTATAAATGTGTGGAAGTCTATTCTCAATGCTATTATAAAATATAAACCCTTCCTCTTTAAACTTTGGGCAAGTAAAAAATCGATGTTCAGGAGTTTCTTTACAGCTCATATTACAAAAAGAACACATTCCATCACTTATACCCCATCTCCCAAGATCAATGGCGAGACCAAAGCATCCTGATCTGGCCTTGAATTTAAGTTTTTGAGCATAGAAGTCAAAATCAGTTTTAAGGTATTTTTCCATAAGTGTGTTTCTTTTAATATTACTATATACTGTAAGTGACTTTTTCTGGTTTATCGAGTCAAAAAATGTATTGCGTAACAAATCATTAGATATTTTCAAATATGACGAGTACCAATCTGTGTCCTCTCTGTATATTATATCGTCTAAACCATGGTTGGTCAAAATATTTTTAATGCTAGAAAAATAAGACCAGGTGGCTGTATTTCCCTTTTTAAAGTCCTCAAACATATAATTGAAAATATTCTTGTGGAGTCCTGCTTTAAGAGAGCTCTTTAAGTAGATAAAATAGTCAATTTTTCTTTTTTTTATGACATTACATATAGGCCTCCATCCCAAATCACCGTACAGGGCCTCCTTAGCAGGATTACACTTGAGTTGCAATAGCGATTTTCCTATCTTATATTGAAAGGTAGCTAGTGTTTTGCAATTTGATTTGTTCAATACGAAGGTACTACAACCATGCAAAATTGCAGGTACAAACATTGAATTATATATAGTATCACCAAAGCTTATGCGCTTTGCATTACAGTGTTTACTCAGAGTTGAACACAACATGCTTTGCATGCGTTTAGCTTTTGGCTTAAGGAAGGCATCTATGTGATAGGTGTCCTTTAATGTCCTATCAAAGTAGACCCCCAGATATTTATAGTTTTGAACTTCAGTTAGTTGAAGATCACCAAGATGCCAAATTTTTTCTTTATTGATGCGCTTACCTATCACCATTACTTTTGACTTTTTCGGGCTATATTTAACGCCCCATTTTAGTGAAAACTTATTTGCAATTTGCAACATTTTGTTCAATTCCCCTTCAGATTCAGCCAAAAGGACGATATCATCTGCAAAAAGCAGAGCAGGGACATTTTCATTATTAAAAGGTATTCCTGTGTTTTTTGAATGTAGCATCTCAATTAATTCTGTCATTATGAAGGAAAAAAGCATAGGGGATAAGCAGCAGCCCTGTTTCAGGCCTGTGTGAGCACTATACCAGTCACTCAGGGTTGTTACCTGTGATTGGAGTGTCATTTTCAAAATTCAGATTTTTCATAAGTTCATTATCAAAATTATCACCATTTGACTAACCAAATAAGACCTTATTTTTGACATCTTTATAGGATTCACGGAGCAGTCTCATAGTTTTACCCTGGATACCTTTTTCCCAGAGTTTCATGAAAAGAAGATCTCTATCGATAACATCAAAAGCTTTAGTCATATCAAGAAAAGCCAAAAAGGTATTTTTGCGTTTATTCTTACGAATACTACAGAGACCTTTTAGGGCGAGTGAGCGATGACGCAACCAAGAAAGCAACCACGCAAACAAGCAGGCGAATAACCGACCGACCAACCAAGCAAGCAACCAACTAAGCAACAAACCAAGCAATCGACCAATCAGCAAACGAATGAAGCAAACAAATAAGCAATGAATAAAAACAAGCAGGCAAGTAGGTAACCTGCAGCAAGACAATCAACTAACCAAAGAATCAGATAACCAACCCACCAACAAAAAAAACGGACGACCAAAAACCAAAAATGACAAGTTAATCAAAATTTCGAAGATCAAATATCGATGTCAAGAATAGATCGAGAAGAAATAAATTGAAACCTCCGTTCAATTTCACCTTTTTAGTTATAATACCCAATGCATAATTAGAATGTTGTTCTTTTTATAGGCAACCCTTATGCCGAAATGATGTGATCTGCAGTTGAACACTCCAGTAGCCTCATTAAAATATCATTATGAACACTTACATGTCATGACATGAGGAAAGTCGTCTAGATCTAGTCGAAATACTTCATATCATACTTCATTGATTTACCCAACCAAAGCTACCCTAGAAACACACATTCGGTGATATTTTTTACGACGAATAGATAACTTAAACGAGTTCACTTGATCAGTTTTATCACCTCGCTCACAGCTGTGAGAAGGTATGTATATTTTTGGGGTTATGCTATGAAATATCCGTTTTAAAAAAGCAATTTAATTATGATGTATCATTTGGATCAGAGGACGTTAGTATTGGATTCAGTTAACAGACTGACTGGGTTATAATTGAATAATTTTGATTTCGTGTATTTTTAATATTTTACATATATTTCTTAAACGCTCTCACCAGATACAATGGGAAGAAACAACTATGGTTACATATAAACTTGAGTTGAAACAATAATACAACAAAAATGAAATTTCACAGTAGTATATGGTATATGGTTTTGGATCCAAATGATACATATTGGCATCCGTTTTATACATATATGTTTATACGTTTACGAAATGTTGTTCAAATATTTTCTCTATGACAGGAATGTAGTAGCTGAAACTTTCCTATATTGTCATACTATATCGGGTGTCCCCCCAAAAATGAGACACTTTTTGCCAAGTATTTTCTCGGCAACTGATGAACTAAATTTTGTACCAAGTAGCCCAGGAGTATTGTTAGCAGAAATACAGAAATATGACAAAGATCAGATAAATATTATGTGAGTACTAAAAAGAAATTCAAGATAGCATGTCAAAATATCCCATACCGGAGCAATGCAATGAGAATTTCATCGCATTTGTACCAAAAAGGGAAGCAATTTGACAAGTGATTTCTCAGCAAGAGATGAGCTAAATTATTTGAAAACTTTACTTGAGGCACTTTAGGGAATCTTCTGCTAATGCTATGAATATGTAAGAGATTGGTTTCATATTATGTGTATATTGTTGAGTTAAATACAGTATGTAAAAATAACCAATATCGATGTTAATCTCACTTATTAATCCTTTTCAAGCAAAATACCTTTCCGTATTCTTAACAAATGCTGTCACCTGATAGCTGTTACAAACACTATAGAGGTCTCATTGCAGAGTTCCGGTATGGGAATTTTTGACATGCTATTTTGAATTTCTTATTACTCGCAAAATATTGACTAAATCTTTTTTATATTTTTACAACTTGCTTATGATACTCTCAGTCTAGTTTGTACAAATTCTCAGTGAATTTGGTTCATCAGTTGTCAAGGAAATACTTTTAAGAAAATCCTATTTTTTGGGACACCCGATATATATTGAATATGCATTATTGCAAGACTCAGTGTTTAGTATAAACTCTGAAATCACTAATTAAAATTCAACACGTTTGAAATTAGAGTTGAATTATTTTATTTCCGGTTGATATAACGTCTTAGAGTAAGTGAAATCGAACGCTATTTCAACTGATTGGATAACATGATGTGATCATGAGTAGGTTATGTGAGTGGATGCACGATGGGATCGTGTTATTCTGCGAGTAGCAACCGTAGCGTTTATACACAGTTTTAGTTAATGTTGTAAGTTGTCATACAACCGATTCGAAAATTTAGTTTTATTGTTCGAGGAGGCATACCTTTTTCCCTTTCGAAAGTCACAAAGATTTTGATCTGGG